GGGTACGCTGTCAATGTTGGTAGAAATGCACCTTTTGGTCCGCTTCAACCATCAAGTACAACCACCCAGCAGCCTTTGCCTCCTGCACCTCCCACTTCTCCAGTAGTGTGGCCTCCGCTTCAGTGGGGGCTTTGGGGTCCTTGGCTTGTGGCTTGAGGTAGGCACCAGAGACAAGGCGCCATAGGCCTGCAGAGCGCAGCCAGGCAGCCATGTCCCCAGCCCAGGACTTGTAGTTGGAGGCATTGAGCTTGGGGAAGGAGGGAGAGGACGAGTGGTTCGACATTTGTGGCACAAGCAGAGTGGCAGAGAGTGAAAGCGCAGATTGTGGCAAGAGGGAAAGATATGAGAGTATTGGGACAAGGAGTGGTCCGAAAATCGAAGTGATTGACTCTGTGGCGCGCTAGTAGTGTGTGTAGTTGACTGCTAGAGCGCGGGGCTCATAACCTATCAAAAGGCGACGCAGGGAGCAGTTGCACAGGACTAGCACTGAAGGACTGAATGCCACAAGTGGGGCTGAAGTCGAAGTGAGTCACAGAAGTATATATTAAAGGACGCTACAGCAGGTCTTTATATATATATATGAGCAGGGGAAAGCATTCCCACGGCAGAACAATAGAAGAAAGAACAATAGAGTCCAAAAGGAGAACAAGGGCCACTTGGCCACAGGAACAATGGAACAAAAGAAGTGTGGCCGGAGCTCTGCTCCAGTCCGATTGCTCCGCAATTGATACACCCATGTGGTCACATGGTGTTGTTGCTTCCGCCACCGGGGGATTGTCCTAGGCCGACTAGGGGACTGTGGCAGAGCACATTGTGACACCTCGGTCTGATATGACCTTGGCCAGGGCCCCATGATGCTTGAACACATCGCGGATGTACAGGTCTGCCGCACCTTCTGCTGTCAGGGTCTCATGACAGGCGGAGAAGTGGACCTGCTTGGTAAAGTGGTCGGCGGTAACCAGGATCAAGTCGAACCCATCAGACTTCGGCAAGCTGACGATCATATCTGTGGTGATGATCTGCCATGGGCGCTCGGGGATCTCGTTTGGCTTTAGTGGACCTTGGGGCTTGGCTGGGAATGTCTTGGTACAGTTGCACACATCACAGGTGCTTACGTACTCATTGACAAACTTGGACATTTTTGACCACCAGTAGTTCCGTGATACGAGCTCCAGGATTTTGGCATGACCGCCATGACTGGCGATCGGCGAGTCATGGTGGATCTTGACTATATCCCGCCGGAGCTCTGCGTTCTTTGGGACGTACACGCACCCGCGGAACAGCAGAAGCCCTTGTTCAGCATTCCACTCCTCAAAGCCCCTTTGCAGCCGGGGCGGCCCGAGGTCCTGCACCTTTTCAAGTGCCTCGGCCACTACCCGATCCTTCTCCGAGCACTCTCTGATGCGCTTTAGAAGCGACTGATCAGCTGTCATGGAGGCATGACCACGTCTAGCAGAGGCGATGCGGAACCTTTCCGGTTTGAGAACCACCTGATTGGTGTTATCATCCTCATCGCCAATCTGATGGTCTGACCGACGTGACAGGGCATCAGCCTTTCCATTCAACGTTCCAGCCTTATGTGTGATGCAGAAGTCGAAGCAAGCCAGGAACAGTGACCATTGTGCTTGACGACGCGTGAGATGCTGTGACGTGCGCCAGTACTCGAGGTTCTTGTGATCGGTTACAATCTCGAACTGATTGGGTAACCCCTCGAGATAGTGGCGCCAATCGTCTAGTACCTCAATAATCGCGAGCATCTCCTTATCGTAGATCTTGTAGTTACGCTGGGCAGGGTTCATAGCGTGAGACCGGAAGGTGATAAGATGCCCTTTACCGTCGTTCTGCTTCTGCATCAACACGCTGCCAGTGGCGTAGCCGGAGACATCAACTTTGATGCACGTCTCCCGGTTAGGGTCATACAATGCCAAGACTGGAGTCGTCGCAAAGAGCTGCTTGAGCTCATCAAAGGCGTGCTGCTCTTCCTCGCCCCAATGCCATGGGTCGTTCCCTGTGAGCCGGTCGAGTGGTCGTGAGATCTTAGTGAAGTCCTTAATGAAGCAGCGGTAAAAGTTGGAGAACCCCCAGAACTTCTGCACATTTTTTTTGTTCTGGGGTACCAGTCACTCATTAATTCCTTTTAGCTTCGTGAGATCCATTGCTACCTCATCGCCACCGAACACATAGCCGACGTAGTCGACCTAGGGAACGTTCAACTCGCACTTCTCAGGCTTCAGGAACAGATCGTTGTCCTGGAGGTGACGCAAAACCTCACGTGTGACCTTCTCATGTTCCTTCTTGTTGGTGGACAAGATGAGTATGTCATCCAGGTACACAAGGATCTTTCTGCCGACAATGAGATTGTAGAAGATCTCATTCATCTGTCAGAATTTGACTGCACAACACCTGCATGAAAAGATCGGCACAACCAGGGTTTGAACCCGGGACCTACCAGAGATGCAATGGGCGCTCTACCACTGAGCTATTGGACCTTGGTTACTATGGAATCATGAAGTCTCATATACGTTACTTCAAGGGTATGAACATGATCTATATTATAGATTCAGAGGTTCTTAACCGTCTCATATGTGTCAGAGCACACATTTGACATCATCATGGCCTGAAAAGTGGCAGGGGAGTTGGTGAGGCCGAAGAACATCACCAGGGGTTCATACAGTCCCCAGTTAGTCACAAAGATGGCTTTCCATTCATCACCAGCTTTGATCCGGACATTGTTATAGCCCCATCTGACGTCGAACTTGGTGAAGAGCATGGTGCCACGGAGCTTGTCCACCATTTCGGCAATCAGTGGCAGTGGGTAACAATTCTTGACGGTGATCGCATTCAACCGGCAGTAGTCCTGCACAGGTCGAAGTGTCCCTTCTTTCTTTTTGATGAAGAAGAAAGGGGACGAGATGGGCGACTTTGATTCCCGTATGTAGCCCTTTACCAGTTGCTCCTTGAGGAACTTGTCAAGCTCCTCCTGCTTGTTGTTTGACAGGGGGTACACCTTTAAATGGAATGTCGAATAGCCAGGTACGAGTTTGATTGCGTGATCGTATGGCTTCCTTTCGGGTAGCCGTTCCGAAGCTTCTTTTGAGAAGACCTTCAGAAACTCGTGGTACTGTTTGGGCACCGATTCCTCGGTGGTCTTAACGACCTTCTTCTTGATCTCCTCCTCGGCGAACAGCTGGAAGTATGTATGTCCGGCCGCGATGAACAGCTGAGGAGTGCCGGGAAGTGTAATGCCTTGCTCTCAGGCCTCGATCAAGTCTGCTTCATCCCATTCGACCTCTACCGGATCTTCTTCGGGTTCGAAGTCCGGGAGTACCTTACTCCGGCAGGCACCTATGACCGACCGTCTGGACTTCGGCGAATGCCTGCGTGCCGTGGGCCTGACCCCTGTATCACACGCAGCCGCTGCTTACTCCATTCGGCCAGTCCTCCTGGCACTGCATGTTTCAGAGTATCGCGAAAATTTTAGGGAGCCCAACTCCCAATCTATTTCGTGGTTGTGCTCGTATAGCCAATCCAACCCAACTTCTGGACCTATGACCATGACCATAAACACTGTCTTCTTGACATGGTCCCCTATCTGCATCTGTAGCACGGCTACTTCCGAGATGCTTCCGTCTTTGTTGAGCATTCCATTGATATTGTAAAGCGGAATTGGCTCCTTTAATTTCCACGTTCGTACTTGATTCTCCATGATAAAACGCTTATTGATGAACCTCGTGGTGGCTCCACTGTCCACCATTGCAACTATATCTTTGTGCTGTCTTTCTCCTTTGAGGCGCACCGGGATGTGAAAATGCTAAGACCCGTGGTCCAACTTGTACTCATTTGCAGTCGTCAATACATTGTACAGATTATTACTACACGGCCCGACGCGTGCAGCACAAAGCGTGGACAGGATCAAAAAGACTCCTCCTTCATCACCCAATAATGCTCGAGCTTCTCGTGCATCGACTTCATCTGTGCTATCAAGTCCACCAGCTCAGAACTATCCAATTTCACTGAAGCGGTGCTTATACACACCGAGGATAAAGCGATGGGGGCGCTTGTCGCTGCCTGGGTGGAGCCCGAGGCAACCGTAGCCCGCGCGTCGGCATGTTTTGTATAAGGCTTGTCCTTACAGTTGAGGCACTCAAAACGTCGGTACCCTTGCTTCCCACAGCTGAAGCAACTGCCAGGGAAGTCTCCTTTTCTGACAGCCGCATTAATGCTGGCCAAAGCGCCTTGCAGGCAGGGTGCACCACCACATGCCCCACCACGTCCTCAACCTCTGGCCAAGAAGAAGTTGTTCAACTCGGGCCAATGGGCCCAGCTGATGTCGAGAATCTGCTTGACCTCAGTGGTGCGCTTCTCAGCTTCTTGCCACGTGGTGAAGGTCTCGAGCTCGATCTTTTGGTAGACGTGGGAGGAGATACCACTCAGGTACTTGTCACGTAGCTCCAGGTCCTCATACCTGAAGCGGTCTGCCGGACCCTTGGACAGTGCAGAGAACTCCACAGCGGTGCATTTTTCACGGACCGATTGGTCTGCGCAGAGCTTTGCCAGCTTTACTTGTGCTGCTGCCTCATCGTCGAGATTTCCAAAGTGGGCCTTGAAGGCAGCGGTCAAGGCTGCTTCATTCCTGAATGGGGTTGTGGCCCCCTGCGCACCTATCTGCACCGCCACGAGCTGGGCAAAATAGGGAGTGGCCCAGGCATGGGCGTCTTCGTCAAGCAGGCTTTGTCACGAGTTGGTACGGCGTCTAGCCGTTTTTTAATTTTTTCCTTTTCGCGGGCTTGAACCCGCGACCTCTGTACTACTTGCCTGATATGGACGTGTTGTTATCTACTGTACGATTGTTATCTACTGTACGATTAGATTAGATGGACGGTAGTGCACGGTACAGCTCGGGCTCCACTGACACAGCCGCTCTGACTCACCAGCCCCCGGGGCCACGTCAGCATGCTGCGCACGGACCAGCTGCACATGGACCAATGCGCACAGCCTGCCCTCATCTACCCCTGTATATAAGCCGGCCTCTGCTGCCTTAGGGACCTCAGTTTCGACCTCTTGTCCCTAGGTCAGTAAGCCCTCATTTGTATTCTCTCTTACCTTACCAACTAATACATTTTCTTGTCCCTAGCCTTAGGTTTGAGCGTTGCTCACCATCGCTTCAGTAAGAATCAGTCGGACGCCCCCAGCCTTCAGGTATTCCCCAGTCACTTGACCTCAAGTTGCGACATTAGGTCGAAACTCCCCAAGCTGCCGGCGTCCTCTTGGGACTCCCTACACTCACCTTCCTTTCCCACAGGTCGGGTGGTGCACACCCCTACGATACCCTATGATACATATGATACATAGATAAGCATACATACATCGCCAACACCAAGGGAACGAACTCTTCAGTACCTGCACTTCAGTGGGCGGTACTTGTCCTCACGGACGCGTGGACTAGGTTCCTGCTGCATAATAGTCAAAAGCAGTACTGGGCCCCATGTGAACTGCGAACCCTAGTGTTACCTCGGGCGCTGTAGCGTAGGCTAGTGTAGCACGGCCATTGTAGTACGCACACCTCCCCGTCTTCCCCCCATCCATCGTGGCTGCCTGTCAAGGCCAGATCCACGCATTCGACTCGCAGGATCTCATCGACGTCTACATCCCAGACGGCCCTGAGACTATCCTCTATCGTTGCGAGCAGCAGCCGTGCCCCAATCGGACACCCCGATCGATCGAGGAGGATTACCCTCGCTACAAAGCAATCCGGCGGGCTCAACACCCCCTCGGTCCTCGCAGCACCCTCGCGTCTCGATCTGCCTCGCGGCATTCTCGCCCTGTCTCCCCCAGCTCCCGTCTCCCTCAAACTGTCGTCGCCGATCCAGGTCAAGCGCGAGGAGATCTCCCTCCAGATCCTGCGCCAGAGCCTGAGCCTGAGGAGAGTGCGAGTGAAGAAGGAGTCTCGGAGTCCGAGTCCGCGGATCCTGCTCGGCCCGCCTCGCCGACAGCGCTCGCCCCCACGTCAGCAGTCCCTGACGTACGTGACCCCCCCACCGAACTTTCTCCGGCGCCTTCACCGCCGACTCCGCCGAGAGGCCGCTCGAGCACTCGCTCCTCTCGAAGTTCGACCGGCGGAAGGCCACCACAGCCGCCTCCGCCCCCGCAACGTCCTCCGTCCCCCCCAACGCCGATAATGTCGTCCCCCGCAGCCGTCCCCGACAAGGAGACGTTGAAGCTCCTCCTCCCCCTCCGATACGACGGCAAAACCGTCATCGATTGCGACAGGTTCCTGTCGCAGCTGCGCATCTACTGGATGGTCAACACGTCGTTGACCACCATCGAGCTCAAAGTACAGGTTGCGCTGAGCCTGCTCGACGGTGATGCCCGCACCTGGGCAACCCCCTACTTTGCCCAGCTCGTATTGGTGCAGATAGGTGTGCAAGGGGCTATGACCCCATTTGCAAACGAAGCGGCCTTTGCCGCCGCCTTCAAGGCCTGCTTCGGAAATCTCGACGACGAGGCGGCAGCACAAGTAGAGCTGGCGAAGCTCTGCGCGGACAAGTCGGTCCGTGAAAAACGCACCGCCGCGGAGTTCTCCGCGCTGTTCAAGGGTCCGGCGGATCGCTCTGGGTATGGGGACCTGGAGCTACGCGACAAGTACCTGAGCGGCATCCCCTCCCGCATGTACCGGAAGATCGAGCTCGAGACCTTCACCACGTGGCAAGCAGCTGAGAAGCGCGCCACTGAGGTCGAGCAGATCCTCGACATCAGCCGGGCCCGTCAGCCCGAGCTAAACAACTTGTTCTCGGCACGAGGTCGAGGACGCGGTGGGGCGCGTGGTGGTACACCCCAATCACACGCAGCTTCGGCCAGCATCAATGCGGCCGTCGGAAAAGGAAACTTCCCCGGCACGTGCTTCGGCTGTGGGAAGCAAGGGTACCGTCGTTTCGAGTGCCCTAACTGTAAGGATAAACCTTACACAAAACGCGCCGACGCGTGGGCTACGGTTGCCTCGGGTTCCACCCAGGCGGCGACAAGCGCCCCCGTCGCTTCATCCTCGGCGAGTATAAGCGCTGCTTCAGCGAAATCGGAAAGTTCCGAGCTGGCGGACTTAATAGCACAGATGAAGTCAATGCGCGAGGAGTTGGAGCACTACCGAGCGCTCAAGGAAGAGTCTTTTTGATCCGGTCCGCGCTTCGTGCCGCACGCGTCGGACCTCGTAATAACAATTTGTACAATGTATTGGCGACCGCGAATGTTTACGAGTTGAACCACGGGTCCCAGCACTTCCACATCCCGGTGCGCCTCAAAGGAGAAAGACGGCACAAGGATATAGTTGCAATGGTGGACAGCGGAGCCACCACGAAGTTCATCAACAAGCGTTTCATCACAGAGAATTGAGTACGAACGCGGAAATTGAAAGAGCCAATCCCGCTTTACAATATCGATGGAACACTCAATAAAGACGGAAGCATCTCGGAGGTAGCTGTACTACAGATGCAGATAGGAGAACACGTCGAGAAGACGGTGTTTACGGTCACGGACATAGGTCCAGAGGATGTGATCGTCGGGTTGGATTGGCTACGAGAGCACAACCCTGAAATTGACTGGGAGTCAGGCTCCCTAAAGTTATCACGATGCCCTGAGACGTGCAGTGCCAGGAAAACTAACCGGATGGAGCAAGCAACAACTGTGCGTGATACGGGGGTCAGGCCCACGGCGCGCAGGCGTTCGCCGAAATCCAAATGGTCGGTTATAGGTGCCTGCCGGAGTAAGGTGCTCCCGGACTTCGAACCCGAAGAAGATCCGGTGGAGGTAGAGTGGGACGAAGCCGATTTGATCGAAGCCTGGGAGCAAGGTGTCACGCTTCCCGGCGCTCCTCAGCTGTTCGTCGCAGCAGGACATACGTACTCCCAGCTGTTCGCTGAGGAGGAGATCAAAAAGAAGGTCGTTAAAACTGCCGAGGAGTCGGTACCTAAACAGTACCACGAGTTCCTGAATGTCTTCTCCAAAGAAGCATCAGAACGGTTACCCGAAAGGAAGCCATACGATCATGCAATCGAACTTGTGCCCGGCTACTCGACCTTCCACTCTAAGGTGTACCCCTTGTCGAACAACGAGCAGGAGGAACTAGACAAGTTCCTAAAAGAGCAACTAGCGAAAGGCTACATACGGGAGTCGAAGTCGCCCATTTCATCCCCCTTCTTCTTCATCAAAAAGAAGGAAGGGACGCTTCGACCCGTACAGGACTACCGCCGGTTGAACGCGATCACGGTCAAAAACCGTTATCCCTTGCCGTTGATCGCCGAGATGGTGGACAAGCTCCGCGGCGCTACGCTCTTCACAAAGTTCGACGTCCAATGGGGATACAACAACGTCCGGATCAAAGCTGGTGACGAATGGAAGGCGGCCTTTGTGACTAACCGAGGGTTGTACGAGCCCTTGGTGATGTTCTTTGGTCTCACCAATTCCCCTGCGACCTTCCAGGCAATGATGAACGAGATATTCCACGATCTCATCGTTGGTGGCAAGATCCTTGTATACCTGGATGACATACTCATCTTCTCCACCAACAAGGAGGAGCACGAGAAGGTCACACGCGAGGTTCTTCGTCGCCTTCAGGACAATGATCTGTTCCTGAAGCCTGAGAAGTGCGAGTGGGACGTTCCCAAGGTCGACTACGTCGGCTATGTGTTCGGTGGCGATGAGGTGGCGATGGATCCCACGAAGCTTAAAGGAATTAATGAGTGGCCGGTACCCCGGAACAAAAAAGACGTTCAGAAGTTCCGGGGGTTCTCCAACTTCTACCGCTGCTTTATTAAGGACTTCGCTAAGATCTCGCGACCACTCGACCGACTCACAGGGAACGACCCATGGCATTGGGGCGAGGAAGAGCAGCACGCTTTTGATGAGCTCAAGCGGCTCTTCGCGACAACTCCAGTCTTGGCGCTGTACGACCCTAATCGGGAGACACGCATTGAGGTTGATGCCTCGGGTTACGCCACCGGCGGCGTGTTGATGCAGAAGCAGGATGACGGCAAATGGCATCCCATTGCCTTCAGATCCCATGCGATGGATCCGGCACAGCGGAACTATGAGATCTACGATAAGGAGATGCTCGCGATCATTGAGGCGCTGGACGATTGGCGCCACTATCTCAAGGGGTTACCCAATCAGTTCGAGATTGTGACTGATCACAAGAACCTCGAGTACTGGCGTACATCCCAGCATCTCACGCGCCGTCAAGCGCGATGGTCGCTGTTCCTAGCTCGCTTCGACTTCCGCATCACGCACAAGGCCGGGACGTCCAATGGAAAGGCTGATGCCCTGTCGCGTCGATCAGACCACCAGATCGGCGATGAGGACGATAACACCGATCAGGTGGTTCTCAAGCCAGAGCGCTTCCGCATCGCCTCCGCCAGGCGCGGTCACGCCTCGGTGACGGCCGATCAGTCGCTTCTGAAGCGCATCAGGGAATGTTCGGAGAAGGATCGAGAGGTGGCCGAGGCCCTTGAAAAGGTACAGGACCTCGGGCCGCCCCGGCTGCAAAGGGGTTTTGAGGAGTGGAATGCCGAACAGGGGCTCCTGCTGTTCCGCGGATGCGTGTACGTCCCAAAGAATGCGGAGCTCCGGCGGGATATAGTCAAGATCCACCACGACTCGCCGATCGCCGGTCATGGTGGTCGTGCCAAAACCCTAGAGCTCGTATCGCGGAATTACTGGTGGCCTGGGATGTCCAAATTCGTCAATGAGTACATAAGCACCTGCAATGTGTGCAACCGTACCAAGACATTCCCAGCCAAGCCTCAGGGTCCGCTGAAGCCGAACGAGATCCCCGAGCGCCCGTGGCAGATCATCACCACGGATATGATCGTTGGCTTGCCGAAGTCTGATGGATTCGACTTGATCCTGGTTACCGCCGACCGCTTTACCAAGCAGGTCCACTTCTCGGCCTGTCATGAGACCCTGACGGCAGAAGGTGCGGCAGACCTGTACATCCGCGATGTGTTCAAGCATCATGGGGCCCCGGCCAAGGTCATATCAGACCGAGGACCACAGTTTGCTTCGAAGTATCTCCATGCAGTGTACAAGGGACTGGGAATCGAGCCGGCGCTGTCCACAGCATTCCACCCTCAGACAGACGGCCAGACTGAGTGCTGGAATCAGGAGATCGAACAGTACCTGCGTGCTTTCACAAGCCACAGGCAGGATGATTGGGCAAAGCAGTTGCCGCTCGCGGAGTTTGCACTGAACAACCGAGTTCACTCCGCGACCGGGCACTCCCCGTTCTTCCTGCATCAGGGGTACAATCCTGAGATCCAGGTTCGGATCAATCCGATGTCTGCAATGCCTGCGGCCGCTGATCGGCTCAAGATCCTGAAGGAGATTCGCGACGATACGCGCTCTGCGCTCGAGCTGTCGGCCGAGCGCATGAAGGTGTACTACGACAAGCATGTGCAGGAGGCACCGGTCTTCGCGCCGGGGGACAAGGTCTGGCTTGACGCTCGGAACCTTAAGCTGAAACAGCCGAGCAAGAAGCTCAGTCCCAAGCGCCTCGGACCATATGCCGTACGGCGAAAGCTCGGAGACCTGGATTACGAATTAATCCTGCCGAAATCGGTGCCGGTACACCCGGTGTTCCATGTCTCCCTGCTTAGCAAGTACACGCGTAGCGATATCCCGGGCCGGGAGCCAGAGGAACCGCCTGCGATCGAGGTTGAGGGCGACGAGGAGTACGAGGTTGAGCGGATCAAAGATTCGAGGATCTTCCGGCGTCAGCTGCAGTACCTCGTCAAGTGGAAGGGTTATGACGACTCGCATACGTCATGGGAACCGGCGCGCAACGTTGCCAATGCGCCGGCCCTCATAGCCGACTTCCACCGGAAGAATCCAAACGCCCCTCGTCGACTCAATGCTGCTACCTTTGGTGGTCTCAACTTTCAGCCAATGCCTTCGCCGCTGACTGAAGCACGTTGCCGCTCCAGATGGGAGATGGGCAAGGGCGCCTCGCATGAGGTCATGCGCCGTTGAGGGGGGGGTAATGTCACGAGTTGGTACGGCGCCTAGCCGTTTTTTAATTTTTCCTTTTCGCGGGCTCGAACCCGCGACCTCTGTACTACTTGCCTGATACGGACACATCATATCTACTGTACAATTAGATTAGATGGGGTGGCAGCGCACGGCACAGCTCGGGCCCCGCTGACACAGCCGCTCTGACTCACCGGCCCCCGGGGCCGCGTCGGCATGCTGCGCACAGACCAGCTGCGCACGGACCAACGTGCACGGCCTGCCCTAATCTCTCCATGTATATAAGCCGGCCTCTGCTGCCCTAGGGACCTCAGTTTCGACCTCTTGTCCCTAGGTCAGTAAGCCCATCATGTATTCTCTTTCTTACTTAACTAACTAATACATTTCTTGTCCCTAGCCTTAGGTTTGAGCCTCGCTCACCATCGCTTCGGTGAGAACCAGTCGGACGCCCCTTGCTTTTAGGTATTCCCCTGTCGCTTGACCTCAAGTCGCGACAGTTATGACAGCAAAACCATCATTGAGTGTGACAGGTTCCTGTCACAGCTGCGCATCTATTGGTTGATCAACACGTTGTTGACAACCATCGAACTCAAGGTGCAAGTTGCGATGAGCCTGCTCGATGGCGACGCCTGCGCCTGGGCCACTCCATATTTCACCCAACTGGCATCAGTACAGATGGGCGTGCAAGGGGTCATCACCCCCTTCAGGAACGAAGCGGCCTCCACTGCCGCCTTCAAGACTCGCTTCAGTAATCTCGACGATGCGGCGGCAGCACAGGTGGAGCTGGCAAAGCTCTGCGCGGACAAGTCGGTCCGCGAAAAATGCACCGCTGCAGAGTTTTCCGCGCTGTTCAAGGGTCCGGCGGACCGCTTTGGGTATGGGGACCTAGAGCTACGTGACAAGTACCTGAGTGGCATCCCCTCTCGCGTCTACCGGAAGATCGAGCTCGAGACCTTCAGCACATGGAGAGACACTGAGAAGCGCACCACCAAGGTCGAGCAGATCCTCGACATCAGCCGGGCCCATCGGCCCAAGCTGAACAACTTCTTCTCGGCACGAGGTTGAGGACGCGGAGGGGCATGTGGTGGTGCTCCCCAATCACACCTAGCTTTGGCCAGCATCAGTGCGGCTGTTGGAAAAGGAAACTTCCCCAGCAGTTGTTTCGGCTGTGGGAAGCAAGGGTACCGACACTTCGAGTGCCCCAATTGTAAGGACAAACCTTACACAAAACGCACTGACGCACGGGCTACGGTTGCCTTGGGCTCTACCCAGGCCACAACAAGTGCCCCCGTCACTTCATCCTCGGCAAGTACAAGCACCGCTTCAGCGAAATCGGAAAGTTCCGAGCTGGCGGACTTGATAGCACAGATGAAGTTGATGTGTGAGGAGCTCGAACACTATCGGGCGATAAAAAAGGAGGGTTTTTGATCCAGTCCGCGCTTCGTGCCACACGCATCGGGCCGCGTATATCATGTAACAAGTATAACGTATTGTCTTCTGCAATGGTGTACGAGTTGGACCATGGGTCCCAACATTTCCACATTCCAGTTCGACTTAAAGGGAAAAGACAGCACAAGGATATAATCGCAATGGTGGACAGCGGAGCCACCATGAAGTTTATCAACAAGCGATTCATTACAGAAAATAAGGTGCAAACACGGAAATTGAAAGAGCCAATTCCGCTGTACAATATCGACAGCACCCTCAATAAAGATGGAAGCATCTCGGAAGTAGCAGTGCTACAGATGCAGATAGGAGAACACGTCGAGAAGACGGTGTTTATGGTCACGGACATCGGTCCAAAGGATGTGATCGTTGGGTTGGATTGGCTACAGGAGCACAACCCGAAATAGATTGGGAGTCGGGCTCCCTCAAATTATCATGATGTCCTGAAACGTGCAGTGCCAGAAGGACTGGTCAAATGGAGCAAGCAGCAACTGCACGTGATATGGGGGAAAGGCCCACGGTGCGCAGGCTTTCGCCGAAGTCCAAATGATCAGTTATAGGCGCTTGCCGGAGTAAGGAACTCCCGGACTTTGAACCCGAAGAAGATCCAACGGAAGTAGAGTGGGATGAGGCTGATTTGATCAAAGCCTGGGAGCAAGGTATCACGCTTCCTGGTGCCCCTCAGCTATTCGTCGCAGCCGGGTATACGTACTCCCAGCTGTTCGCTGAGGAAGAGATCAAAAAGAAGGTCATTAAGACCGCTGAGGAGTCGGTACCTAAGCAGTACCACGAGTTCCTGAATGTCTTCTCCAAGGAAGCATCAGAACGGCTACCTGAAAGGAAGCCTTATAATCACGCGATCAAACTCGTACCCGGCTACTCGATGTTCCACTTGAAGGTGTACCCCCTGTCGAACAATGAGCAGGAGGAACTCGATAAGTTCCTAAAGGAGCAGTTAGCGAAAGGTTATATACGGGAATTGAAGTCGCCCATTTTATCCCCCTTCTTCTTCATCAAAAAGAAGGAAGGGACACTTCGACCTGTGCAGGACTACTGCCGGTTGAACACGATCACGGTCAAGAATCGTTACCCCCTGCCGTTGATCGCCGAAATGGTGGATAAGCTCTGTGGCGCTACGCTCTTCACGAAGTTTGATGTCCAATGGGGATACAACAACGTCCAGATCAAAGCCGGTGATGAGTGGAAGGCGGCTTTTGTAACTAACCGGGGACTATACAAGCCCCTGGTGATGTTCTTTGGCCTCACTAATTCCCCTGCAACCTTCCAGGCAATGATGAACGAGATCTTCCACGATCTCATCGTCGGTGGCAAGATCCTCGTGTACCTGGACAACATACTCATCTTCTCCACTAACAAAGAGGAGCATGAAAAGGTCACACACGAGGTTCTCCGTTGCCTTCAGGACAATGATCTGTTCCTGAAGCCTGAGAAATGTGAGTGGGACGTCCCCAAGGTTGACTACATCGGCTATGTGTTCGGTGGCGATGAGGTGGCGATGGATCCCGTGAAGCTGAAAGGAATCAATGAGTGGCCAGTGCCCTGGAACAAAAAAGATGTTCAGAAGTTCCGGGGGTTCTCCAACTTTTACTGCCGCTTCATTGAGGACTTCACTAAGATCTCGCGACCACTCGACCAACTCACAGGGAATGACCCATGGCATTGGGGTGAGGAAGAGCAGCACGCCTTTGACGAACTCAAGCGGCTCTTCGCGACAACTCCAGTCTTAGCGCTGTACAATCCTAATCGGGAGACGCGTATTGAAGTCGATGCCTTGGGCTACGCCACTGGCGGCGTGTTGATGCAGAAGCAGGATGACGGCAAATGGCATCCCATCGCCTTCCGGTCGCACGCCATGGACCCGGCCCAGCAGAACTACGAGATCTACAATAAGGAGATGCTTGCCATCATTGAGGCGCTAGATGATTGGCGCCACTACCTCGAGGGGTTGCCCAATCAGTTCGAGATCGTCACCAACCACAAGAACCTCGAGTACTGGCGCACGTCACAGCATCTCACGCATCGTCAAGCACGATGGTTGCTGTTCCTGGCTTGCTTCGACTTCCGTATCACGCACAAGGCCGGAACATCGAATGGAAAGGCTGATGCCCTATCCCGCCGATCGGACCATCAGATCGGCAATGAGGACGATAACACCAATCAAGTGGTTCTCAAACCGGAAAGGTTTCGCATCGCCTCTGCCAGGCGTGGCCATGCTTCAGTGACAGCTGATCAGTCGCTTCTGAAGCGCATCAGGGAATGTTTGGAGAAGGATTGAGAGGTGGCCGAGGCCCTTGAAAAGGTGCAGGACCTCGGGCCGCCCCGGCTGCAAAGGGGTTTTGAGGAGTGGAATGCCGAACAAGGGCTTCTGCTGTTCCGTGGATGCGTGTACGTCCCGAAGAATGCGGAGCTCCGGCGGGATATAGTCAAGATCCACCATGACTTGCCGATTGCCGGCCATGGTGGTCGTGCCAAAACCCTGGAGCTCGTATCGCAGAACTACTGATGGCCTGGGATGTCTAAATTTGTCAATGAGTACATGAGCACCTGCAATGTGTGCAACTGTACCAAGACATTCCCAGCTAAGCCCCAAGGTCCGCTGAAGCCGAATGAGATCCCCGAGCGCCCGTGGCAGATCATCATGACCAATATGATCATTGGCTTGCCAAAGTCTGATGGGTTCGACTCGATCCTGGTCACCGCCGACCGCTTTACCAAGCAGGTCCACTTCTCTGCCTGTCATGAGACCCTGACGGCAGAAGGTGCGGCAGACCTGTACATCCGCGACGTGTTCAAGCATCATGGGGCCCTGGCCAAGGTCATATCAGACCGAGGTCCCCAGTTTGCTTCGAAATATCTCCACGCGTTGTACAAGGGACTAGGGATCGAGCCGGCACTGTCCACAGTGTTCTACCCCCAGACAGACGGCCAGACTGAGCGCTGGAATCAGGAAATCGAGCAGTACCTGCATGCTTTCACAAGCCACAGGCAGGATGATTGGGCAAGGCAGTTGCCACTCACGGAATTCGCACTGAACAACCGAGTTCACTCTGCGACCGGGCACTCCCCATTCTTCCTGCATCAGGGGTACAATCCTGAGATCCAGGTTCGGATCAATCCGATGTCCGCGATGCCTGCTGCCGCTGATCAGCTCAAGATCCTGAAGGAGATTCGCAATGACACGCGCTCTGCGCTCGAGCTGTCGGCCGAGCGCATGAAGGTGTACTACGACAAGCACGTGCAACAGGCACCGGTCGTTGCGCCGGGGGACAAGGTCTGGCTTGACGCTCGAAACCTTAAGCTGAAACAGCCGAGCAAGAGGCTTAGTCCCAAGCGCCTTGGACCTTATGCTGTTCGGCGAAAGCTTGGAGACCTGGATTACGAATTAGTCCTGCCGAAGTCGGTGCCGGTGCACCCGGTGTTCCATGTCTCCTTGCTGAGCAAGTACACGCGTAGCGATATCCCAGGCCGGGAGCCGGAGGAGCCGCCTGCGATCGAGGTTGAGGGCAACGAGGAGTACGAGGTTGAGCGGATCAAGGATTCGAGGATCTTCCAGTGTCAGCTGCAGTACCTCGTCAAGTGGAAGGGTTATGACGACTCGCATACGTCATGGGAACCGGCACGCAACGTTGCCAATGCACCGGCCCTCATAGCCGACTTCTACCGGAAGAATCCGTACGCCCCTCATCGACTCAACGCTGCTACCTTTGATGGTCTCAACTTTCAGCCAATGCCTTTGCCGCTGACTGAAGCACGCTGCCACTCCGGGTGGGAGATGGGCAAGGGCGCCTCGCATGAGGTCATGCGCCGTTGAGGGGGGGTAATGTCACGACTTGGTACGGCATCTAGCCGTTTTTTTGATTTTTTCCTTTTTGCGGGCTCGAACCCGCGACCTCTGTACTACTTGCCTGATACGGACACATCATATCTACTGTACAATTAGATTAGATGGGGCGGCAGCGCATGGCACAGCTCGGGCTCCACTGACACAGCTGCTCTGACTCACCGGCCTCCGGGGCCGCGTCGACATGCTGTGCACGGACCAGCTGTGCACGGACCAACGCGCACAGCCTCCCCTAAACATCCCCTGTATATAAGCCGGCCTCTGCTGCCCTAGAGACCTCAGTTTTGACCTTTTGTCCCTAGGTCAGTAAGCCCTCATTTGTATTTCTTTCTTACCTTACTAACTAATGCATTTACTTGTCCCTAGCCTTAGGTTTGAGCATTGCTCACCATTGCTTCGGTGAGAATCAGTCGGACGCCCCCAGCCTTCAGGTATTCCCCAGTCACTTGACCTCAAGTCACAACAGGCTTAGTGCAACCTGCACCTTGAGCTCAATGGTGGTCAGGGATGTGTTGACCAGCCAGGAAATACAGAGTTGCAACAAGAACCTGTTGCACTCAATGACAGTTTTGCCATCATAGCAGAGAGGGAGGAGGAGCTTCAGGGTCTCCTTGTCAGGGGCAGTTGAGGGGGAAGACATTATCGGCAGCAGGGGGAGACGGAGGACAGCGCAGGGGCGGAGGTGGCTGTGGTGGCCCTCCGCTGGTCAGACTACGAGGGGAGCGAGTGCGCAAGCAGCCTTGCGGCGGCGACGGCGGTGAAGGCGCTCGAGAAAGCCCAGAGGCAGTGTTACATACGACCGTGACTGGAGGCACAGAGGGGAGCACATCCGGTGATGCAGCCTGACCGTGTGTCGCGAATTAGGGTCAAGCGACAGAGGAAAACCAAACAAAGACGCTGGGGGCGTTCGACTTAGTTCTTACCGAAGCGATGGCAAGCTGGGCTCAAACCTAAGGCTAGGGACAAGAAAATATATTGGTTAGTAAGGTAAGAAAGGAATATAAGCGAGGGCTTACTGACCTAGGGACAAGAGGTCAAAACTGAGGTCCCTAGGGCAGTAGAGGCCGGTTTATATACATGGGGAGATTAGGGCAGGCTGTGCGCATTGGTCCGTGCGCAG